TTTTACATCTATGCCATTTTGCTAAGTTGAGGTCAAATCGACTTATTACTAATTCAATTGATTACTGATCAATTTTTATGTGGCTTCGTATTACCAAATAATACATGTAACCTGATTTTTGGCCGTTATTTTACTCCTTTAATTTCTTCAGGCTTTTCACTCTATCAGCAATGGAGGTTTAAGTTAAGGTTGCAAGTTTTTCACCAATTACTATTATGGCTATCTTTTATGTCCTCGTTTCGATTCCAATTCTAGTAGATTAGTTCGTTTTTTGTCTCCCTTTGAAAGTTGAGTGCCTTTTCTGATTTTCTACACGACATTGGCTTAAGCTTATTAAACGACTATTTCTATTTTCACATAAATTCGACTTATTTATTATCCACGTCTTTTAACGTACAAACCTGCACATACATGATGAATTTGCCAATCTATCTATTTTTAACCCACGTTAGATCTATTCTTATCCCTTTGTTCAGCATATTTACCTCAATTTATTTGATTATTTTTATATTTAACTTTCTCATATATGCTTAACAATACATGACGACCAGGATATTGTCTTGGTTAAAGTCTCCCTTCGACGTCTAGAAGTAGGATCAGCAATTTCGTCAATCGACGTGGAGGGCGGACAGGGTAAACAAGCAGGTGTGATAGGTACCACTAAACTCGCCATAAAGGGCACACTGAAGAAATCGAATATAACCAAGTTCAAAGTTGCGATAGTGAGAAAGTGAGTTGAGAATAGGGCGTAGATTGCTATACACGGACAGAAGATCGAGTGAGAACACAAGAGTTCGGCAAAAATTTGGCTATTGAATTGCCTTCACTTCTCACTGACAATTTTAGTTTGGTGCCAAGAATGGCATGAATCACTGGCAATGCCGATTTCACTACCGGCGAAATGCTGGACCTTTTTATAACTTCCATGGCAGTGGACTCTGGGGAAGATGCATCCTACTAGTTCCCCCTGACAACACGTCCAAGTTGTGAAAACGAAGTCAGACCTCTATATATACTTAGTTTGCTAATTGTATCAGTGCTTACATATTCGCAGCTTATTATACTAAGACTCGTCAGGACAAACAAATTTCAAGCTAAGCATGATGTTCTTGAAGCGTTCAGTTACGTCACCACTACTCACGACCCCTTATCAAATCCAATTAAAGTTTTTCATGAGAGCAAAGAATGATCCATACTGCAGCCGGCCCTAAATAAAATAATTTTTTATTGAAATTAGGCGAAGTGAAATTCAATGGCATCCTAAAGCTTACTCAGCTAATTGTGAAATTTTTTTATCTCGTCTTCACTCACATATGCCAACCAAGCTTTTAATCGAGACTTACCGATTGTCAGAAAAAATTCTTAGAATTCACATTTTCTTTATTTGAATACGCGTCTTACACGTTTTTATTTTACAACAAAAATTTTATTTTTGACATCATGACGGCTACATATAGGCCTGTTATTCGGTTTTATCAACAAGAGCTGCCTCACCTGACCTCAGATGTGGATGAAGATGTCGGATTAAATGTTTCTGGAGCACATCGTCAATCACCACCCGCAGTTGGGCTTCCGTCCGCGGCTGGATCGACACCAGTTCGACTGACAAGCGTCGCTGCTAATATTATCTCTACCAGTTTTCTTCTTGTTGCTGATCAGTTGGGTCCTAATCGATTGCATCGACTTGCCTGTATTTTAAATTCAGTAACAGTTGCAAATGGTGAACTAGAACAGGATCAAAATATGAAATCGAGAAAAGAACAACACCAACAAATATTTAGAGTCGGCTCCTCCGAAAACCAAGTGAAAAATAATTCTGAGCAAGAAGAAGATAGTGAACAACAGCTGGCACATTTGATGACCCAATTAACCCCAGCGCATTCAATTGCAACTCTTGTCAAGTTAATCAAGGTAAACCAGAACTATGATATAAAAGTATAATTAATGTACTTTATTCAAGACAATTTCTATTTTCCAAGGTGTGCATGCTGACCTGAAAATTTATTCGATGTTTGCCAGGCCTATTAATTTTAGGCATGGATTTGTTTATCATACTGAGTAACTGAAGTAAAATGATTATTTAATTCCTATATGTTGGGTATATTCTTATATTTTGACCTTGCTACCTTGTGATCTCTTAAGAATATGAGTATTGGTAAATCACAATGGTATAAAATAAAGTTATCACGTCAACACATTAAACACAGTTTGAATAGGCTTGCTGAAGGGATTCGTAAATTGATCTATCTGGATACAGAAGAAGAGATGCCTTGGGCTTTTGACTGTTGTATTGTGCGAGGAGGACCTCGGCTCACCGTCCTGCGTCCCCGATATCTCAGTGCTGAGCTTTGGTCTGTCATGTGATGGACATCGTCAGGATCATAAACCATTATTTACTAACGATCACTCAAAAACACTAATCTAAGAATGGTGGCCGGCAGAAATTCTACTTACTTCTCACACCTCATTTTGCGAAATGAATGAGGTATTCCATGATTTGGTTGGCTACTTCATGCTGTCCTACATGCAGGTATAAGTGTGAAGTGTATGTGGTCACAACTTTTGCCTATGCAACTAAACTGGCGTTGATCCTGTAACCCCGATACTTTTTTTTAGCTTTGTAGATGTGTTCGTTGCTTGCTTGCAGGACTCACGAGTTAGCTGACAATTTTGGTCCCCAATCTAGATTCCAGTTTAGCTAAATCTTCTCTTACTCTGCGGCTTTTTTGAGGGACGCCCCTTTGTTGATTTTGTGCAGGCCATATGCATTAGGAGGCCCGTCATCGCTTAGATTAAGTGCATTGATTTTCAACTTTCCATTGTGGCAGGAAACACTTGAATCTTGACATTCGTCTTGACTTGGAAAATGAATTCACTTCTCCAATCTGTTCCTAGGCCTCCTAATCCCTACGGTCTGCTAAAAATTCACAAAGGGGTCTTACTTGGGTTTTGTGATGCATATAGCTTCATGCTTTATTTGTGATCATCTAAAGTAAGTCTCTGGTTTTTGGTAATTTTTAATAAAGATTTATTGTAACTATTAAGTAACTAGAGGATAAAATAATGTAACAGAAATATTTGCTTGTAAGTTTTGATGTAGTACCGATTCACACGAATATACTGGTAAGTGAAGCGATACAGGCTTTTAGATAAATATTAGACACATACAAAGTATATTAGGAAATAAGGTAAAGAAGGAGTCAATCATGAGATTGAAGAACTTAATGATTATATATATTTCACCTTTAATGAAGTATTATATGTGCAAATTTAAGGTTTAGCTATTGGATCGTGTTTGTCTCCAGCTTTAGCTAATAACTAAATGACTCAATTGTAAGACCGGCTTTTTCAAGAGTCAGTTCTAGTTACGAAACTTTAAGTCAGATATATAGATGATTAATTTGCTATCTGGCAGCGTGGCAAAGAGTTTTTGGAAGACTCACTTGGGTAATGAATAGAGTAGATAAGGCGAAAAGGGAGGTACATTACTCTTTTTATATGTCCTACTTATTAGATAAGGACGCAAACTGGGTTAACATGAATGTAGGAAACCCACAAATGCGTGTTTCCTTTTTGATTTCTTCTTGAAGCATACTTATGCTGTTAAGGTAGGAGTAGTGAAATTAGTGATATAAAGGAGTTTACTTCTAGCAGATGTTAGCCACGAAGATCAGTAGTTAGAACGAATAAGAAAAATAGAACAATCATCCGTTAAATTAATCGTTACGATTTGAGTTAAAGGATCAATTTCTTAGGACGAAACTAGGGAATTAGATA